GCATATATGTACCTGGTCCTACGTTCTAAATGACTAAGTAACTTATTGTTGTTATGATGACAAGTGCTTACCTAATCAGGTGGATTGAAGTATAAAAAATTAGTTGTTTAATTAATAGTTTATTAATAAAAGGAAATTATGAACTGATATAAATATTTTACAAAGTTATAGCAGTTACAGGAAATAAGAAGTGGATAAGTACATTCTTCCATAAGCACTGATCACCTGGTGGATGTATAATAAGAAAAGTATTTTACAAAATTATGCACGGATTTTAAATCAGTATTAACTTTCCATCATCTAACAAAATCTGTATTGAAAAGCTTATTAAAAGCTCTCCATTTATTTCTTACTTTATTAGCTTTGATCAATAGATATATACCCTTAATCAATTTATTGATCCATTATAAACAAGTTAAATGAGCAACTGGGTTGGTTTACTATTGAAAAAACTCATTTTCATTTCCTAAATTCTTATATCGATTTTCATGTTTTTCTTTCTTTCTTTAAATGAAACTATGGGATCAGGTTTAGAAAACTTATTGCTCTATTATAATATTTCAAAAAATGATTTGTATTTGCTTCTCACAATACCGGGATCGGTAAAAATAAATGTTCTGTTACATACATACACTAAAGTCGAGACCAGATTTAAATGGCATAATGGAGCCTATATATATATATCAAGCTTTATTTTACAATCATAACGTAAACAAATGCGATTTATAAACAATCCGATTTTCACTACATCGCTGTTTAATTCGTAATTAAGTTACTTGTTGTGGATGCGGAAGAATAGACCAATAATTATCATGTTAAGTCCAATGGTGTCCTTGGACTTTAAATGGACATTTCCTATTGGTCGGTATCTGTTCACTTGTTGAATATTGTACAAAATGTTGTTTTCTATTTTATGGTACGATGTGGTATGCTTGATTGGTATATAAACAAAGTATGTTTGGAATATAATGATTCATATCTCCGAGGCTGTGACTTGTGTTCTGGACTCAACTGACTGGGCTAGACAGGGAAGCGAGACCAATAGAGACTCCAGGCCGTCCGTACGTGTTTACGTGTCATTGAATCGGTCGATAAGTACGCTGCTCTCTAATATTCCAATCAAGGACACAACAATTAGCACAGGGTGAAAATCGACCCCAACTTAAATTCATAACATTACTGAAGGGACAATTTTAAGGTTTGTCATTCTTTATTATGAAATTAATCAAATCTACTAAAATAGTCCAAACTTCGGGTTCAGAGTTCAACTACTAGCCACCGCCTAATTTCAATAAACACTTGTGATTAAATAATTTAAAATAGTTTAAAAATACTTCTTAAGAAGAAAAATTTATATTAGAATCGTGATTTTATAAAAATATTCGACACTTTTTTGGAGTTATTTATTCTTAAATGAATGTAAGTAAACAGAATACCTCAGTGATTTATCTGTTAAAGTAGAAATAGTTTCCTTATTTCAACTGTACTGCATGGAAATAATCTGATTTCAGTTCTAATTGATGTTAAAGCTCAACTAATTAGATTCTATGGTGTGAAATTCAATCTTAGAGTATTTATTTCGTATATGATCCACTGGTGTAAATGCTTTCCTCAACACTTTTCAGCTTCTTTAAAACAATTACTTCACAAATGTTCACATTAATTTTCCCGCTTATTGAGCATTATTTTATTCATAGGTAATTGACTACATTTTCGACATATCCAGAAATTACTACTTTGTTAAATTTAAGTAGTATTTCAACTTATTTCACCATAACAAACTGTGAATCATTAGAACAAAAGAATGAAGAATTATTCAGATTATTATAAACAAATATCGGAGTTATATGTTTATAACAATCAGTTTATAAACAACTAATTAATTTTATTTAACATAAAAACTTGATCAAGTCAACATTTCATATTGGTCATCTGAACATTATTGATTTTTATTATCAGAATGGGTTTTGTGGAGAGTTTTAAAAATTTCACTGGTTGAAATCATGAGTCAATTGAAGCTAGACCACCATGGAAAACCTAGAAGCACTGGAAGGCCGTTTCGTACTAGTATGGGACTCCTCAGCAGTGCGCATCCACGATCCCGCCCCCCACGAGATTCGATGGGTGCGCACTGCTGAGGAGTCTCATACTAGGACGAAACAGCCATCCAGTGATTCTAGGTTTTCCATGGTGGTCTAGCTTCAATTGACTCATGATTTTAACCAGTGAGATTATTGATTTTATTTAATTTTACATTCTTCAATTCACATGTTATAATTTTTACACGATGTATTTTGTCTTAAATCTGACCATATATTTTTGGGCTATTAATTTGGATATATAGTTGTAGAACTTGAAGAGAATTAATTGAAAAGAATATTTTTCATTCAAATATCTGTGTTTTAAAACAATACTAACTCGTCAGATTTACTTTTGTACATTGTTCTTATGTTGCAACATATTTTCTCTACTAGTATCATCACATTTTAATTTTTTAATTTAATTCAATTGATTGTCGATTAGTTATTAATTGTATGCTGCCTATTTCATTGTTGTGTTGTAATATCATCAATAAATCACCAATATAGATACCAATCAATATGTTATAGTGTATCAAATCTTTTTGTTACCAGCAAAATTTAGTTAAATACCAATATGTACTTGACATTTATCAATGTTTGGTCACGTAATCTATTTCTTTGTTATCAAAGACTCAGAAATTGTTTTTACTGATTGAGTAATTTTCATATATATATATATATATATATATATATATATATATATAATATATATATAATATATATATATATATATATATATATAATTGTAAATTAGAGTGAAATTTGATTCAGATTTAATAGAAAACAATACTGTTTACTTATATTTATTGTTCTGATTTATTATTTTATTTGGCGAATAGAAAGGAATAGATCAGGTGTAAAAGAAAAAGATAAATTATTCTGTTCTGAATCTCTAGTAGGAGTTATTTATGATAATCTTTAGTATAAATCCTATTGATAATTATTACTACATTAACTGTTGAACATAAATTATTTATTCCCAATATTCACATATTACTTATGACCTTAAATTCTATGGCGTAGTTTTTAAAACGTTTAAAATAACAATTCAGATATTATTACAAAAGGAGATAACAAATAGAGAAAAACTTTTTAGTTGTAGACAAAAATATAAATTATTTCTTGTTAAATATTCAATGACGGGAGAATATTAAACAAATGGAGAGAATAGGAAACTTATATAGATTGAGAAAAGAGATTAATGACTGTTATCAAGATGAGATCAATAATAATAACGATTTTATTTATTATCAGTTTCAATTCACTAGATAGATAGGTTATTAAAGTAAAATCGGGCTCAGATCACTGAAAGCGTGTTCAAAAGTAAAGACAGAGTAGTTTAAAGAGTTTAAAAAAATAATAAATATAATTAATGATATTCATTTGAAAGTTTATCGACTTCCTTGAATACATTATTTTAATGTGACTTTCTTGGACATGTTATACAAATATCAACCCAACGGATTCCACATCGACCATAATTTGCCAAAGATGGCTTGGAGGAAAAAAGCATAGACAGAGACAGCAGGTGGTATAACCTCATGGTATAAACAAATGGATGTATAGCATTCTGACATTATAGTCCATAGAGAATTCGTGGTCGGGTTCATAATGACAGTATAATTCACTGACTTCAGATCCTATCAGATACGGCTAAGAATAGAGGCCGTAGCTATTCTGGAGTAGTTTATCACTACATTCTGTATAAAAGTGAGATAATCTATTCTAACTGAAAGAAATACTTCTTCACTGGATTTTAACTGAGCTAGTGTTTCATCTTATAAAATAGCATTCTTGCTTATCTATTGATAAGTTACATCCATCTCCCCTATTACTTTTCTTCATAATTTTATCATGTCACTTTCTGGTTCCATATTTTACCACAATTTATGTGCTATAAGTAAATAAATGTAAAAGATTGCGAATATATGTATTCCTAGAACCGAAATCCGAAAGTCTAAAACTTGTTGAAAAGTAAGATCATAACAATGTGGTTAACAATAATCTCCAAGTTAGACATTGAAGATTTACCAAACGTGAAATCATTTGAAAAATGATAGTTGGTAAACATGTAAATGTCAAAGAATGTAGTTATGATAATGAATGAAACTTACATATCAAGTACGTGTTTATGTGCTTGGCTTTTAGCCACATTGCGGTAGTGGTGCAAATCGGTTGAAAAAACCAAAGTAGATGGTGTGAAGCTTAATTTTTGGGTTGATTAGAAACCGAATACTTTGAATACTGAACCACCCATCTGTTTATATATTACACACGCTATTGATCAGCTAAATTTCAACCAGTATGGTGATCCCCAATGCATTATTCGGCTTTAAATGTCGGACAATCAAACAATAAGCACGAATAGACACTCACACACTTAACTCTCGACAGACTATATATGCAAATTACTCCTTTCACCGTTGTTATTTTTTTTATGGGGTAAGCTCATTTCATTATTAATAACCAAATTAAATAGCTTTCCGCTTTCCAAAGGGTAACAGGGAATAATGCCGGAAAGTACCATGTGTTCAAAAGCAAAATAAATATATACTGAACGGAAGTCATTTATGAGAATAACTAAAAAGGCGGCAATCGACAAAGGAGTACGTGTCCCGGAAACCAAATTATCGGCTAACGTTAAAACCGTTCGTTTATTGAACAGTTCATTATGCATTGTAAAATAAATAAACAAAACAATTACTTTTATTGTGAAGAACATTTGTGGCTCAAATTGATTTATCAATCACAAATGTACATAGTACTTTGTGGATTTCGAATGATCTAATTAGCCGAACTGTCAGATAAATTTATTTTCCTTCAATGTAAACAAAATAACTATAAACAATAATCAATTATTGTAGTGATATTCGACAGTTTATTGATCCGTTCATTCAAACAATCCTATATAGATTCAGTGTAAACACCTGTATAAACAAATATATATATGGAGGTAAATGTTCGTGACTTGCGAATTGCAGAGGACTCTACGCTGATAATGAAAATATTCAAAGTTTGTCCTACTATGTACACACAACTGACGACGAATTCCATTTCAGATTACTATATTACTGTGTCTTTGCATACATATGTCTTTCGATGAAGTAAATTGTGTTCCAGAAAGTAAGTTCTGCATCTATACTATTATGATTTTGCTTTGTACACAAATGGAAATCTTCTTAAGATTGGTTCCAACTAATGTTAAGATAACTTAAGTAAACCATAATTCGAGGTTATTACACAAATTGGTTTAGATAGTTATGACCGGTAGTAATGTTAACTGAATTGTTTCAACTGATGAAATTTTTCAAAGTATCCCACTATTTTTTATATTAGTTGTTCAAAGTCATTTGGTTAATAGAATTCATGATTTTGAAAATGTAACAAATCAAGCTATACTAACTTGGCATGATTGATAAACCCAAATTAGCAATGAGTACTTGACCAAATTGAAGACCACACACTACGCTTATGATCAAACAAAAATAAAAATAATGAAAACTTAAAGAACCACTGCTGACACGATTCTATGCCAATGACTAAAATGGGGAAGCTGAGGTTGGTTATCTTTCTAATCATAGGTATTAGTAATATTTTTACTTATTGGTCTATCCATTGAAAGAATGAACAGCCGTTAGTTAACTAGTAGCTGACCATACTATATATTTACTAATTATACTATTTGATTGCACTCAGCTCGGTAAATAGATAATGAGCTATGGCTTTGTTTATCTAGAGAGCAAGATTGAAACTAAGAGTTTACACCACGTAAACCATGAACGTCTATAACTAGCAAAAAATCCCATATTAATGCGCACATAGAATAGATGGGATATGGCTAGCGACGGGATCCAGGATGTGTGTTTCATCCTACTTAGAATTCATCAGCCAAATATACTTAAACCCAAGAGCTGATGTTCACTTTGGTACTGGAATCTATTATCTTTAGCTTCGAACCCTCAAAAAGTTATCTCTTTAGATGCTGAGTCCAGATAGCCACTCACTTGTGAGACGGATATGCACCTTAATCTAATATTGAGTGATTGTAATATACAGTTTAGGTTAACACCATCCGTTCATGAAGTAAATTATTACTACGAGCCGGTTTGAAACACATATCAATCTATCCTGTTGTTTATATCATCTTAGATTTATTTATACTCTCACGATTAATTTTAATTCATTTCAGAAAACAATGGAAGATCATCAGATGACGACTCTCCAGCACCGGTTGTTACTGTACAAAAGAATCGACTATATGTACCTACGTACTTATATAAGCATAAAGCTAATTAGCTCTTCTAGCCAGTTCCTGTGACAAAAATCAACACCTTTGTCAACATATCAGCCTAGACATTTAGATGACAGTCATTGTAATACTTCTTGTGTTAATATAAAAGGTTTGGTTTCTAAATCACTTGATTTATGTCTTCTGTGAAAACAGAATCCTGTTAGATTAATTTAGTTTGTGACAATAACTTTCAGAAAAATACCCCGCTCCTGAATATTTCAAGCAGACAATCAAAGAATGAGAATTTTTCTCTCTTAACTCGGCGCAGTTGACCTACAGAAAACTGAATCTCTGCTTGAAAATTTATTAAATCCAACAAAATCATTATGTATTGCTACGGTGTATCAATGTATGAGTAATGTGCATGGAAACAGGACGAACAATTCACGTAATAGAACATTCCCCAAAAAATGTAGAAAGTCGATCAACCAGTGGTAAATATAGAAGATAAAGTATCTGGAAATCTAAGCGAAAACCTTAATTACACGACCAAGAAGTAGTAATCGAAACAAACATTGAGAATTGGTATGGTTAGGAAACTAAGGCAAAACGATATGCGCACAATCTTGAGTCGATAGAAATCCTATCCAGCATTATAGTTTCCTTTAGCAAAAAGATACTTTGCAATGGATTAGCACTGACATAATTCCTTAGGCATTGTATATCAAGCACCCTGATAACCGTTGAATAAATCCCAACGGTGTATAAATTTAGAAGGCAGCACAAAGCACCAACCAGTTAATTATTGAAAAGTACAGATCAATAAGCTATAAACACGCCGAGAGAATTCGAGCAGAAAAGCTGACGCGCACAAGCGAGCGAATATAGAAACGAATTAAGAGTCGAATCAATTAATAAGATTCGAGTACATACGTATATATGGAAAGTGATGCGAAGTGCAGACTGTCATTGGAAAAATGGAAAACGATGAGACGGAGAAAGCAACAAACCAACTCGTTTTGAAAAACGAGACTCAATATTTATAGTTAAACAAAAATAAGCTATAGACATGTGATAAGTAGGATAAGCAATACACACACATACGTCCATATAAAAAATCAAGATTAATAAGCGAATAACTGACAAGGTCAAAATGTCACTCAAAAGAGTGACAAACAGAAAAGCAAGATTCTCCGATACAACGCAACATGCACCAATCAAATCACACTTGACGGAGAAGCTTTGGACGATGTAAAAACATTTACATATCTGGGCAGCATCATTGATGAGCACGATGGATCTGATGCAGATGTGAAGTCGTGGATCGGCAAAGCAAGAGTAGCATATCTACAACTGAAGAGCATCTGGAACTCAAAACAACTGTCAACCACAGAAAGGTCAGAATTTTCAATACAAATGTCAAGACAGTTCTACTGTATGTGGCGGAAACCTGGAGAACTACGAAAGCCATCATCCAGAAGATACAAGTGTTTATTAACAGTTGCCTGTGCAAAATACTTAGAATCCATTGGCCAGACATTAGCAATAACCTACTGTGGGAGAGGACAAACCAGATTCCAGTGGAAGAAGAAATCAGGAAGAAACACTGGGAGTGTATAGAACCTACATTGAGGAAAGCATCCAACTGCGTCACAAGATAAGCTCTCACTTGGAATCATCAGGGCCAAAGGGGAAGATCAAAGAACACATTACACCGAGAAATGGAGACAAACATGAGAAGAATGAACAATAGTTGGATAGAGCTAGAAAGAAAGGCCCAGGACAGATCGGGTTGGAGAAAGCTGGTTGGTGGCCAATGCTCCATTGGGGGGTAACAGGCGTAAGTAAGTAAACTGGTTTGTCCGGAAGCTAGAATAACCTATATGGCCTTGACATGGTACAATACAATTTATATGTAACTCGGAATTATCCATGTGCAACCCCACGAAGATCTGATAAAAGCACAAATCTTAACTTCGGGATCTACTACTCACACCAATAATTCGATAAAAAAGAAAACATCTCTGATGTTTAATATTAAATGGAACCCAACAGTGTAACAATAAAACAGAAGTTACGCAAGCTAAGTGACCAAGGTATATCTATGAGACTAGAAACAGGTGAAAATAACATTGCTTCGAATTTGAAGAATCAGTATATTGATGCTTAAACAAACACTTCCTAATTTCAATTGAAAGAATTACGGGTGAAATTGCCCATCAAAGATCAGTCAGTATATTTTATCGTTATTAGCAACAGGAAAGCATCAAATTGTTCTTTTATTGAGAAAATCGTAAGTACTTACTAAGCGAGTTTTAGATCGCACATCACTCAGCTGAACAGAATTTACTGTTGAACATGAGCTTCACTCTAGCCTCAATTAACGATTTTCGTTTCAGTTGAAACAACAGGCTTGTAACTTTTACTGCAATGTCAACAGAAGTGGGGTGAAGATCTACATTGCGAAGAAAAGTTCGAAAACTATAACCGTCATTTGTAAGCTATTCTATTAACTAAAGAGAACAGGTTCAGGAGCATAATTCTAAGCCGGTTCCTATGCATGGGTTAGTAATACCATATACGTAAAGCAACTTTGAACCTGTAATTTAATAATTGAAATCGAGAGGTCTGAACATTATAACACAACATATTTACCATAACTTGGGGCTAGTAAACCATCATACAACCACTAATACTATAACCAAGCAAAAATAAATGAAAACAATATTCATCTATCCACGTAGAGACAATAAACATACAATATATTAACCAAAATTAATTGAAAATAACAATTTGTGACAAGTCACTTAAAGTGGTATGTTTTTGAAATACGGAAGTTCACGGCGCCAAATTGTTTCTAGCGCATCAAGAGCTTTCTGCCCAAGAGGCAAATCACCATAACGATCCACGAATGATTGTATTACACCGGCATAAGTTGTAGGATATGATATTAGTTCAACACCGTGAGGGGTTTTACGGAGTCCAGGTTGAACGAAAATAGGTCGGGGTTTTTTGCGATTAATCACAATTTGGCGCAATTTAATATGTTCTGGTAGCAATTGACAATAATGCTGGAAGAAGGCGCAACCATCTTTAGCATTGGCTGTACTTTTATAATACTGAAACAAAAGAATTAAGAGAAAGCATTCAGTGAGTGAAACTTTAGAAAATAATTATACTACCAAGAAATAGTTCATCAGCTACTTATTCATCATCGAGATAGAGTCTGGCACATAAACGATTTGTGCAAAGTTGTCATACCACGTTGTTCGAATATGCTATTTATCCAGACTTTCAAAGTCAATATACGAAAGCAACCATACATAGAGTAGCATCTAGCATGAATGCACTCATCCACGTTGCCATACATTTTATCAATATAATCAGAAAACCAAGAAAATCAAATATTGATAAATAAAATAATGATAACACTTGTCGAAAACGAAAGAAGAGGCTTGAAAAATGGGTGGAATATATGAAGTAATAAACAATTTAGAATTTTAGAAACCAGCGATGATTGAATTTGGGCCACTTTGACTTATCTTAAGTCATAACACTTGCAATATTAGAGTGGTCTAATTCTGAAATCCAGGTAAATAATTGGCACTGGAGTGAAGTGTTCACTAACTGGTTGCACAGTTAGTGGTTTGTATTGTTGTGAGAAACGTGCCTAGATGATAGATTATTGGGGTGCAATACTATTAGGCCCCCAAATGCACTGGTACGGTCGAGAGTGGGGAGAGTCCACTCTCCCTCTCGAAATGCTCTCACATGGCCACGCATATATATCCTCTGCCAGGGAAGTCCTACTCACTGCCTTCTCGTGGCATTACTGTTGTTTACGAAAATGAGGACGAAAAGCGAATGTCCGGTGCTTTAACAGGATCCCAAACCAAATCAATGGTGCACATGGGCTCCAGTATCCTGCGGGAACAAATGGCATGTGAACCAATTGTTGGTCACCGGCTTCCATGGGACTGCATCTCCCCGCGATGCTCCACTGCCTTGTGGATCAGACCTTCAGGTCGAAGGCTCGGGGAGTGCCCCTCTAAGAAAACTGCCTGCTTCAGTCTGGGCACCCGGGCAGTATCACAACCCCCACACATGTCGAATGAGATTTGTGTGGCTCATGTGTATTTGGTGCCTCCTTGTACCAATATCTATGTGTTAAAATAATAATAAAATTTGATAATGAATAACAATAATTGTATTCAAGAAGCTTTCTTAGAAACCTTGGACCAAAAGTCAGTGGTATTATAAACTGATGTCATGCCACGACATATAATTCATTAATCTTATTTGTATCAACTCTTGAGGTCTCCAGAATGGCACAGTAGTAATGTACCAGTATATGCACATGCACAATACATGTCTACTCATAAGAATCCATAAAAACATGAAATGAAAAGGTCTCACCTGAATTTTTCGTAAAAATTCGCCAATTGCCGGACGACCCACTGTCAAAAGCTTTTGGCGATCTAAGAAAATAGTTAAATCAGGTGCACCATCATCACCAACTATTTCGTCTACATGTACCAGCGAATTGTCAGCTTCAATTAAAACCTAGTGAAGAATAAACAGTATATCTAAAATTGACATAACAGTCAGGAGTATATACGTAACATTTAGTGATAATGAAGAAATAAGAGAAATTATAGAGATGCTAGCTATCCACACCAATAGACACTACGATTTTCAAAGATTGGTACAAGTAATCGGATGCTAAAATGCTTCCTCTGATAAGAATTCACGAACCAATCAATTATTTGCTTAAATTCATACATATGACGCGATAAAAGTAATGATATTGATAAAAACATTAACGTAACAAAACTATATTGCATTATAAGCTTAAAAAAAAGAAGATAAACGTAATTTTACAGAAAATGGAGTTTTATCGTTCAGCTAGTATAACTTAGAAGAATGTCAATAATACGAAAACAGAAAGCAGGAAGTACTATGGGTTATAAAAAGATACACCTAGTTGAATAACCATCATGATAAAAATTGAGTTGAGAGATTTAACTCACAGAAAGCATAGTATTCTCTCATTATTAATCATTTTACAGCATAATGACCAGAGGGAAAATGTATTAAGTGTTTTATTTGAGCTTACATCTAGACTAACCAACGAAAATACAAGCTCAAGAAAACAGAAAGGTGGTGGCGTATTTTACTAAACAGGAAGTTTCACGAAGTGGAAGTTCAGTGTAACTTGCAAAACTTTCTGAAAACACTTACCCGCAAAATCACATAACGAGCACAGCAATGTGCCTGACGCCACGAACCAATATCGCCAGCGTTTTCTGCAGGTGAATAGAATTCCATAGAAGTTACGCCTGAACGAACCATGGACAACCAATTAACGTAGACAACATCTGGAACACTGTCTGTAGAGCAATTAGTATTAAGATTAAACTGTTCCAAGACAAGTGGTAAATTGCATAGATAAATTCCAACACATTCAGCTCGACATTCTTCAATTGCCGAAGACAAACTCGAAAATTTGCTGTCGTATGTTTCGCCTGGTTCATACCTTAAGAGTTAGAGAAAATACCATTGATGAAAGTCATTGTCAGGAATTTTACCGAAAAAATATGTATATGATTGACTGTTCGTACCCAATACGAAGTTATAAGTCAAGAAAAATTGCTATAATCACACTATTTTATGATCAACACGTAATTTCCTTCACTTTCACAAGGATGACACATATTCACTAATAATCAATCTGGCTCTCCGAACAGATACGTATGAAAATATGACATTAATATCGACCTGAATAGTGCTAACACTGGGTGATCATAAATACCAATTATAATTAGTTCGTAACAAATTCCAAATTGAAAGTAAAGACCCCTACTTAAACTGTTAGTTTAAATGTAAAAAGACAGTCCGTACATAATATTCCTTCTATAGGAATCTATCGAGATCGAATCCTGCATCTTGACTACGCATAACAAGATCTAATTAGTTTCACCTATAATCGTAAATCAAACTATTCAGAATACTGTTTTTTACTGTGTATACTCCTACACATAATCTTGTGAGCGTTAACTTTACAGTTACGGCAAAAGTTAGGAATAATGCACAGATACGACAATGTATTTGTTCTGAGTATATTACGACGGAAACTAAAACGACAGAGAATGTGTTTACGCTACAATCCATTGAAAACTTTCAATAAGTCAAAAATGAAATAACAAAGAATGTACATTGGGAACGACCGATAAGGACACTAATTTGACACGAACCAGTTACTCGAATGCATTTGAGTTATCTACTTATTCTATTATCTTAATAATAAGCCAGCAATTGACTAACGCTGCCTTCATAAGCAGATAGAGGCTTTCCTATTTTAGTTTAAACGAACTGAGCCGTATTTCCACTAGACTTATGAGTTATCACAAGGAAATATTTAAGCGTATATGCTGCAAAATCGAACCATGAGATTATTTACATTTCCATTAGTGGCAGGTCTAACCAAGAAGTCGGTGGCTGTTTCCCACAATCAACGACCGATATAATATTAGTGCCTTAACGACTTCACAGATTTACCTGTTGCACCGAGGTTTGGTGATACTACTCAGCTGCTGAGATCAAAATGGACAAACGTGGATGCCATGAATGAAAGTCAAGTCCCTAGATCATGGTTGCGCACACATAAACACAAAATCCTGTGTTCTGGCCTTGTAATGACCAAGTGTACTAGGTAAAAATGATAGGTTGACTAATGAGGCAATACATCTGCATCAACTGAGGTGCTTGTGACATGTTTCACGTATCTCCGATTACGGCCTAACTCGACGGGAGATGTTATCCGGCAAAGTAGGTTGAAAGAAAACAAAGGAGCGATCAAAGAAAAACACGGCATCAGTCCATAATAATTGATTATCGGACTGAGCCAAATTGGTGGGTGTACAATACATGATCGGGGTCCACGTAGTAATCGTAACCGTTGGTTAGAGACCGAATAAAATGGCTAGACGTCGTTTCCAATAGCGCAGATGCATCCGTACAATATCTTCCCCAAATTCTTAGCTTCTGAGATTCCGCACAATTTTTATTTATTTCACTAATTTACATTATTTTGAGTCGTATTTCGATGCTTAATATTTCCTAATACCACTAATACAGTTACTACCTCTACTACTCTGGAATTTGACCTAACAATTTCACCTGGCTGTGCTGAAGCATGACAACTTGAACCAGTGTACTTATGTATCAGGTTCTTATTTATTTATATGAACATAAATATTGGTACAAAGGTGGACCAAATACATATGTGCCGTACGAATCACATGATTTGTGTGTGGATGTTATACTGCCCGGGTGCCCAGATGGAAGGTGGTTTTGTTAGGAGGTCAAACACAGAGCCTTCGACCTAAAGGTCTGATCCACAAGGCAGTGGGGCAACGTCAGGAGATGCAATCACGTGGTAGCCAGTGATCAACAATTGGTTTATATGCCTTTTGTTCTCTCAGAATCCTGGAGCCCATATGTACCAGGATTTTCCAACTTCCCAAGGTGAACTCTCCATATCCACCGGCCCAGTTAAAGCGCGGGACATTCGTTTTCCGTCCTCTCAACTTTATAAACAACATTAGTACCGCGAGAAGGCAGTGAGTAGGACTTTCCCGGCAGTAGCTGTATGAGCGCAGCCATGTGAGAGCATTTTGAGAGGGAAAGCGAACCCTCCCGACCATCAGCCGTACCAGGGCATTTGGGGGGCTCTACGCCACGACTGACCGGTGTTAACGATAAAAATAAAAAGGGAACAAAAGTTTTGTGAGTTCGAGTGCGAATAGACATACAAGTGGATGACACTTCCTTATTGTCCATACTTCAGAATATGCTTATCTCCATCTACCTATATTACGATGAAAATACAAGCCGGTTAAGGAAAGGCTAAAAGTCGTAACAACATTACTAATTTGCCACTTTGTCATTTTTGTACCATATTCAGTTTACTTTTCCACTAACGTTGATATTACTATTTCGTTGATTTCTTGTCACTGATGTGAATCGCAGCAACTTAGACAGAAGCACGTTCTTGTCATCTTAAATTGTCATAACTACCTGCAGATGCTCACGTTTAATGTGCTACAATTTTTTGACACTAGTTAATTGGATATCTATAGCAAATATCTCGAGCGGATAGATCTAAGTTTACACTAACGGCTAGAATTATATACCACTTGTTACTTGGTATATATAAAATAGGGAAGGTAGCAATAATAGTAGCCATAGGAAAGTGAAAGTAACCGACATACCAACTACGTATGGGACCTCCACTTATGATATCTTTCGTAGAATTTGTGTCAAAATTCAGTATTCCATCGCCACTACGTTGAAAGAGCTTCCCAGAACCATGGCCTAACAATTCATGAAGTCCAACTTGAAGTTCGAAAGAACTTTCCGCATGATCCACATACAACTTTTTGTCTTCCTCTCGGAGAAATTCTGATTTAGGGTCCTAATACGAAAAATAGGTTATACAAACAGACTTTACCTTGAAGCGAGCACTGAGTACATTCCCCAAGGATACATTTTTAAATCCATCAACTTGGCGCACATCATCATAGTTAGGAATGTTAATTCCAACAGGGATTCCTGAGGTTGCAAACGTTACTACGTCCAAACTTGTAAAGTCTGGTTGTAAGAACCTGTCTTTTTCGTAAGTAGAAGGCCATGGCAAATTAGATAACAAGTCAACAGCATTATCTACTAGCCGCTGAAATTTAGATGACATTGATCGATTCACAACTGCGACAAATGACTCGAACTCTGCACGTACACCTAAAGGATCACGATAAGTTTCAATAAAGCCAATGTAATTTTCAACCACAGGGCATTTGTCCTTGACCCATAGTCTAGAAGCATCTTTGTGAGAGTCTAAGGACCCAGTATAAAAGCTCTGAGCATAATGATCCCACATTTCTGATTCGATTTTGTTAAGAGAGTGTGCTTTGGCATCTAAAGAGCAGTCAACCAGTAACTCCATAAGTTCGCAGTAGTCACCGTACTCGAGCTGCAAAGAAGTTCCCGAAGGAAGGGCATCAAAATGCACAGGTTGAACTTTTTTCTCAGCCGACGCAAACCGAATCGAATAAACTTTGGAGTTGGAGTTACTACTCTTAAAAGTCGAGTATTATACGCTTCAATTTTAACGTTTTCCAGATATTTTTGAACTAGTTCAGCATCACTTCGAATACAGTCTTCAGAGTAATAAGACGTTATTTCAGTGGGACTAAAACCAAGGCGTAAACGGCGAGGACTTAACGAATAGATGGCTGGAGCTATTTCTTTCCATAAAGCTTTAAGACCAGTTTCTGAATTAGAAAATTCACTGCTCAACGATAAAAATTCTGTTACCCTGTCGACATTGATAGCTGGGATGAACTTGGTGTCCCCAAAAGACAGGTAATTCCCGAAATTACCCAGCACTGAGGCGAAATAAGATAAAATGTGGGTTATTTCCTCATCGGAAAAATTATTTTTTGTCGCTTTTTCAACAAAGGAATGTACGTTCTCCAAATGGAAAAAGCGACTGACAAACAAAAATATTCCAGCAGACTCAGGAGATGTTTGAATTAATCCTATGAGACCTCCAATCCAAGACGCTTGTGTGCAGCTGAAAACATAATCCTTTTCCACATTGCTAAGTGATTTGAACGCTTCAGTAACATCAAGAAAATGCACGGGAGGAGGCACATTGATATAGAAGTCCATATTACGATAAAGTATATGCTGTTTGCAAGCTCTGAGTATGCTAACAGATTGAAGATAGCGTATTGCTGGTCTGAAGACAGACTGGAAGTGAGAGAGAACCTACAAGGGATGTAAAGAGTAATTCTGATAATAGTAACTCACAAAGATGAAGTCCAGAACATGATAAAAGTTTGTATCGACCACTAATTAGACAAGACAAAGGGGTGCAGTTATACCGGATGAGTTACGAGAATCGCACAAACCGTGATATCCTACTAAAATTGATGGAATCCCTTCTCTGACAAATCTCTACAACCTTGTTGAACCAAAGTGGCTCTCAAAGGACCACCTAGATCAATATAAAGCATAACCAGCAAAAATCTGAACGTAATACGGGTTCTATGAAACACATTGATTTGGATATATACGTAACCAATGTTATACACTACCTATTTACTTGTCGAATACAAAAAGACAAGCCAAAATAATACTGGGTCAATAAGTTTTTACAGATGACTACATATATCACGAAACACTACTAAGTATCTCACCACACAATGAGATGTACATCCAATCTTACAAAGCACTACGTGGCAGAAATGCATATGAAAACTCAAACCAAACTAATTGACGCACTAGGTATCAGATATACGGCATTAATCTTGAAATCTTTAGTCCTGGGTAATAATGATAGGCTTATTAACCTATAAAAGTAGATCACAAGTTATCGTGTCAAAAATCTGAGTGCTTGGAACAATCTTTGTAAGTGTAAGCTGACTAGATGATTGTTAACCCGTTAAATACAAATTTAAAAGCAAAAGGAGCCGACTCATGAAATTACACTCAGTCCCCAGCTGAGAAGAAACTATGATGTAAGCCCACTCTTCCCGCCAAAGGTTCAAATGGTTTCAGTTTCAGTTTCAGTTTTGGAAGGACAGGAGGCTCGATGGCCTATGTTAGTCCTGGCAATGGTGGTCTCTCAGTTGATCCAACTTTCTTTTGAAAGAGTCGACGGATGGAGCCTCAACCACGTGCTGAGGTAGTGAATTCCACTCGTTGATGATTCGATGGGAAAGTCGATAGTCAGCTGACAAGTAATTTGTTCTCGGCTTATGAACTTTTTTGGAGTGTCCTCGTAAATTCTCTGTTTTGGAAGACAAGAAAAATGAGGGCATGTTAGGTGCAAATTTATCACTAAGCAATTTGTAGACTGTAATCAAGTCGCCTCTAGTTCTGCGATATGACAACGGGAAAAGGTTCAGCTTGGCCAGTCGAGATTCATACGGAAGCTTCGCTATTGCGGGAACCAGCTTAGTCGCCGTTCTCTGAACCTTTTCCAGAAGCTCACTGTCTTTTTTAAAGCAGGGGCTAGCCGCCTGTATGCAGTACTCAAGTTTAGGACGAACGAACACTGTATACAAAGTCAAAAACGTCTTAGTGTCGACATGACTAAAAGCCCTACGTATTGACCATAACGTTCTAAAACTTTTGGCGGCTATTGCACGGCAGTGTGCAGTAGTCTTTAAGTCTTGACTAACGATAACTCCTAAGTCATTATATGTCTGGACGACAGGTAGCTCAGTGTTATTCATCGTGTATGTATCTGTGCCTTGATGACCGATATGCATCACAACACACTTGGAAGTATTTATCGGCAACTGCCATGTTTGAGACCATTCAGATAACTTCTTCAGGTCATTTTGAAGTTCTAAGCTATCACTCTTACATCGTATCGTTCTCCATATCTTGACATCGTCAGCATATAGCAAGACCGATGATGATAGGAGACAAGGAAGGTCATTTACATACAAGAGGAATAGCACTGGCCCCAAAACTGTACCCTGGGGCACTCCGCTAAGCACAGTTTCCCAGCTAGATAACTTTGAGTTCACCCTTACTCTTTGTTGACGCCCAACTAAGAAGTCTTTTATCCACATCAATAAATTACCTCCAATCCCGATATGTCTTAACTTATATAACAGCCGGTTGTGCGGAACTTTATCAAAAGCTTTACTGAAATCAATGAAGGCGACGTCTACAGGTAGCTTTTGGTCCTTAAGAGCACACCAGCTTTCACGAGCCACTAATAAGTTAGTGAGACAAGAATAACCTATTCTGAAGCCATGCTGCTTCTCCGAGAGGATCCGGTTTTTATCGAGATACTTAAACAGCTCCTTCCGAATAATCTTTTCTAATATTTTAACAACCACACTAGTTAGGCTAACGGGGCGGTAGTTCTCAGGTTTGTGTTTCGTGCCTGTTTTGAAGACAGGACTTACTATGGCGTTTTTCCAATCTTTCGGTAAGCGACCCTGCGTAACGGATAGGTTAAAGCATGTACTTAAAGGGTTCGCAACGAAGTTAGATAATTCCTTCAGTAGCCTAGGATGTAATTCATCGGGCCCCGTGGATTTACCTATGTCAAGCTTTCGCTTAACCGTCTTCCGGGTCTAGTAGCAGTGGATCACCAACACATTCAGACAGGAACCTAGGTATATTAACGATAATAGAGGAAAGAAAAAAATTAGTAAATCATCGTAAGACAATATCCTTAGTCCTGAAGAATAGGTCAAGTTTCCTCTTAAGGGACTCCTAGGAAGTCCCTTGAACTAGCTCAGCTGACAGCGAATTCTAGCAGTTGACAACTTTCTAGGAGTAGAAGTCGTGTCTACAGTTCGTTCTTCCATGTCGTGCCTCCAGTTTCTGAGTGTTACCTCTTGGTTTGTGTTGGAGCCAAACTTAAGTAGGTGTTTAAGGGGATGTCCAGAGTGTTTAGGATGCTGTAAGGCCACATCTAAGACGTCTGTACTCTAATGGGTGAAGATTTAGTGATTGGAGGAACTCTTCATAAGGCTTGAATTTGAGTCCCAGAACTGACTTCGTAGCTCGCCGTTGGATACGCTCCAGAGTGCCCTTATTCTTTTGGAGTGATGCAGGCAATACTACGTTTCCGTACTCTAACTGGGGACGAATAAACTGTTGAAGATTATGTGGAAAGTTCTTCCGTCAAACTGGCCAAAAATGCGCCTCAATGTTACCAGTTCGAGGTTCGCTCGAAAGGTATTTTTGTCAGTTTGCGTAAAACTTCAGATCATAGGGTACCAGCACTCCTAAATCTTTTTCAACTTTAAATATTTCTAGAGGGGAGTTGCCTAAGTTGTAACTGTAGTCTGCAACATGTCTCAGGTGGACTACTCTACATTCTAAAGTGTTAAGGTTAAGTCCGTTGTCATACCTCCTGAAGTGCCAGTATATTCTCTCGGTTGCGTATCACTCCCCAGAGTTTCACATCATCAGCAAAAGTAATAGGTCAAACGATATTTGTTATGGAAGATCGTGTATATAAATCAAGAGAAGAAGAGATCCTAGTACTGGACCCTAGTGAACCCCACTAGGACATTTCATAGTCTGAGATAAAGTGAAGTTAACCCTGACCCTAAAACGTCGACTTTTCAATTATGAATTGAGCCAATCAATTAGAGGTGATTTGGTACCTAATCGTTTGAGCCTACTGGTAAGACATATATGGTTGACCCTGTCAAAAGATTTTGAGAAGTCATACCGTCTTCTTTTGTTTGTTTATCTTTCTGTACAGCTTATGAAAGCTTTTGTTATCAGTTGGGCCAGATTCTGTTTCATCGAGATACATCTTGATAAGGGATTCAAGAAGATTTTGAAACATGGTATTACTTTAAGAAATAAGAGTCAATGAACCCGAATTCTTCAGGAATACCATTAACTCCTAATTCACTCGATTGTAAAAATAGACAAAGCGGAGGGTATTTCGAAAACACATAAACAACCCTAGTGACAAATACATATCGAAAATACATATTTTTATAAGTTTTCGACAATGGTGCAGACCTTATTAATCTTGCCGGACACATTCTAAGCTGTAGGAAATCGGTCAAACATCCATACGAAACTACGTTTGGGTACACGTCTTATGAAAACTGACCAGTTAATATTTCTGAAAATACGGAATTCGGTGTTTTTCAAGTTCATCTACACATCACATCATTCTCGGCATCTAGTTTGATTGGCTTTGGTATCGTTACATATGAGGAGGTTTCCGATAGTAGCATTGTTGAGCACTGTAAATGTGACATCTTCATTATCTTTTATAAAGTGTAGTAGAAAGTGTTTATAAGTGAATCTGTTTTTTCACTAAACTGTTTGTTGTCTCTCATTATCTCTGGGTGTCGCTGTTACTTCCTGTCAATCAAGTTCCATGAGGTAATAGATTGGTTTTCGCTATAGTTGTTGTAATCGAGTCCTGTGTATTTTAGCTTGGTAAATATAGTCTTTCCAGTTTCGCAACAAGGGTTTGACAGATTTTCTGATACGAGCGCGAGAATCATGAGCTTGCAGTAGCTTTTAGAGACCCTTTGGAAATTTAGTCTCTCCGATCATATCTTTCTTTGTCATGCATTCATGTGTTAACTTCGATTTTCGATCCAAAGTTGTGACAAATTAAATATAAAACAAATGGACAATGGACTGAAGTTAAAAGCAGTGGCAAAAAAATTAGCAAGCACCCATTTATTGATCGTAATACAGCCATATAGTAACCGTGGATGACACGAGGATGTTAAAATGATAAGAATGTTACTGAAATATGGATCTCACACAACTCCTCATAAATTATGTCTGGTTAACACATTTTGATTAATGCTATGTCAAACATCGAATACGGAAGTGTTTTGAAAGGACATACTTTGTACATCCAGTTTGTCAGTGGAAGAAAAAGAGGAACGGCTATCCACTGGAATAGTAGGGATATCCAACTCAGCGAATGTTATATATATATATATATATATATATATATATATATATATATATATGAATAATGCGTAGATCGTAGATAACCAATAAGAGCATAAATGACTAATGCATAAAAGTAAACCAAGCATTAATATCATTAGCTAGGCCTCAAAACAGAAAAGGAAAATGAGAGGGTCATAAGATACCTGATAAGTCTAGAATGACTAGTTGAAAGAACACATTTCCTCGAGCAAAACGTTTACAAAGTGACACGACAAAAGTAGCACATTTGGATATGGAACAGTGATAGAAACTTTACAGCCTTACAGACAGTCATAACTCCCTTGGCAAATCTGGTAAAGATGTCACAGATACTCAGAATTTGACAACTATTTTGACTGTGACATCAATATTATTGAAGGATACTGACCCGATCAAAGCAGAAGTAAGGAATGTATGGGTTTGAAGATATGCTTGGATAGTTGTAGGTATGTTGAGGGGCATTTGATCTTAGCTGGCTGGTAGTTGCGATGGATGCGTAGCACGGCGATCCCATTAGTGATCTGGTGCGGATGTGTGACTGAGCGCCTTCAGCTAAGGTGTGTTAAGCAAAACTAATTAGGTTGGCATCATATGAAAGACTTGCAGGACTACTGATATTTGGGACTTATCTAAAGCTACTAAACCAATGAATATATCTTATTTTTAAAAAAGTATTATGGGGATGTTGTGTTTTTATGATACAATATATATGAACAGTCTAAATGAACACAAAACGTTGCATATTTGAAATTGTAAACATGTTACATAATCTAGTGAACTGGTGAATCTCACTTGGATTGTTTTCAGTATACATCATTATTTTGGTTTATGATGTGTCCAAAGATTCTGTTTGATGCTTCCATCCAATTTTCTCGCCGTTTTCTAGTAGCGAAAAAATCTGAAACAAAGCTGGTTCTACAGTCACAGCCTGCACAAATTGTTTACCTCAGCAGACGATTCTACGCTCGTTTGTGACTTACACTGGCTGTTGTACTGTTATCTATTTCAAATGATTCAAACAGACCAACCAAGTACGCTTTACTAGCTT